ATAAACGCGGACCCCGAGTTTGGGAAGGTTTAGCACCTGGCCTTAAGTCACATGGTAAGGAAGTAGGTGAGTGGGATGTGAATCCAGACCCACCTGCTTCCTTCACCTCTTTAGTCCTATCTGGACAGAAAGGAACAATAACATGCTCCCATCTGATGCCCTCACCAGTGAGCCTCCCAGGTCAAGTGTCTTCGGTCCTGTGTGCCTCAGAGAAGCCAGAACGCACCAGGAGCCTGAAGAATCACTACCTCCCCTGACTTCCCTAAGTTCGTGGCCAGGGCTGGTCCCATGGAAGCCAGGCTCCGGTGGTGGCCTTGAAAGTCTTCCTGTCCACCCTGCTCTTAGACAATTTCTTCAGGGAGTCTAGGAATTATTCCTCAAGGGTCAAACCTGTAAACATTAGCATCTACCAAGGATATTTGTTCAAGATGTTCATTGGCTGCTCTTTAGCAAAACCCGTGGGGAATGAGAGGTCTCCCAGGAGATGTGGGATACAAGTTACAGCTTGTATTTAAAGACTGTCCCCTCAATAAAACAGTCTTCATGTTGTCCCATTTGGACCACACGGCAGAATTCTGTGAACAAGACAATGATAACAGATGAGGATGCCAAGTCTGCAGGCGGTCGAGCCATTTACCAAAGGTCACACAGTTCACCAGGAGCAGAGCCAGGGCTTGGCTGCAGTCTCTCCAGTGCCAGGGCTCCTTCTTGACCGTCTTACTTTCCCTTGCAGCCTAAAAGCCAAAAATCTCAGAGTGGTACTAGGGGACCAGGACTTGAAGAAGACAGAATTCCATGAGCAGACCTTCAGGGTGGAGAAGATACTCAAGTACAGCCACTATCATGAACGAGATGACATTCCCTACAACGATATCGGCAAGTCTCTTCTAGCATGGGATCTCCTGAGGGTCTTGTCCTGGGTGGATTTCTCTACTGATGGAAAACTGAGAGTTGGTTCTGTTTGGTCCCTCATAGACCTTATAAGGTAGAAAATTTATTCCATCACTTTCTAGTTCTTAAAGGTTACTGTTGTGGATAAACATGCACAGGCTCTTAAGGGGAAGCGATATTGTGTTGTGTGAAAGCTCAGCCTTGAATCCCACCTCTCCCACTTGCTAGCCAGCTTCACCTCTCTTCGCCTCAGTTTGCTCTTCTATAAAATGGGAAGCTGACTGCAACTTTCAGCTTCCTGTGCGTTAAGTGTCATCATGTGCATGTGTCCCCGTGCACACCCCGTATGACACCTGGTAGGCAATGATATACTTAAGCTTCTTACTGCCCAGTTTTCCATTCATGATGCTTCTCATTCTCTCTCCTTCCTCAATATCGTTTTTTACCCTTGGAAAGCCTGTTTATTTTTCATTGATTAGTCATTTAAAAAATGAAATGATGGAAAAAGTGGGGCTTTGCTACAAGCACCTTCCAATCAAGGTGGAGTGGATACTTTGATACAGAGGATAACATCACCCATTTCCTCTTTCTCTCTCTCTACCTAGCTTTGCTCAAGCTAAAGCCAGTGGATGGCCACTGTGCTCTGGAATCCAAATATGTGAGGACTGTATGTTTGCCTGATGGTCCCTTTCCCTCTGGGACCGAGTGCCACATCTCTGGCTGGGGTGTGACAGAAACAGGTGAGTCTGGCCATGCCGTCTCCTGAGACTCAGGTGAGTTATTTTAACAAGAAAATAAAGGGTCAAACTCAACTGTCCTTCTGAACTTGAAACCAGTGTTATATTCAAAATGTATTATCAAAAGGAAGATTGCGTCATCTCTCAAGGTTTAGTTAAGTCTCATCAGCTCCAAGGAGTGTCCCTGATCTCACACCTGCCCCTGGCTCCGGCCCCTGGACCCTTGACATTCATCAAGCATTGACCCTGTATCCATAAACTGTTGCCTTCCCTAAGTAGACTAGAAAATGGATACATTGGAAAGAAGATGAATTGTGGAATCAGATTCTTGGCTTGTCACTTGGGCAGCTGAGTTTTAGTTTTCCAATAACCATATTTACCTCCTAGGTTTAGAATCATAACAGGAGATGGAATTCTACAGAGATACGATTAAGTCAGCCAGGAGGGTGGGGTCAGGCCTCATTCATCTTTGCGTCTCCCACAGTGTGCTGATCTTAGTAGGCATTCTATAAAGTTTTGTTAAATCAAACTTTTGATTTGGCTCCAGGGTTTGGTCTTATCTAAGGAAGTCACCAAAGTGTTACTTTGCTCATAGTACTGACATGATGATATCTTCTAATATATGGGACTTTCTCTAATCTTCAAGATGGAATTCTTCCCCATACATCATGTCCTTCATAATGAAAAGCGGGAGTCACTCTAAGTAGGCCTGTATTCATAAAGAAAGTGGCATGTAATATATGAAATGGTCAGAAGGACTGGGGGAAAGAAGGTACCTGGTTCATTGGATTTAGGGTTAACCCTATTTGTAGCTATCATCATTGTAGTCCATCTAACCCTCTCCCCGTCAGCATGCCAACTAGAGCGTTCTGAGCAGAACAGAAGTTTAGGGGAGGAAATACCTGCTCTGGGAAGCAGGTGATGTAGATGATCAACCAGGGAAATGCATTCATCACTAAGCATTTTCTACATGCCAATCCTCTGCTAAGTCATGGGAAATTAAAAAATGGTTGAGACACTCTCGTCTTCCTGACTTCACGGTCTAGCTAGGCAGACAGAGGAGGGAATGAATGATTCTGCTCCATTGTGATAAGCAGAGTATTGCAGGTCCAGATAGCCCTGGTGACAGCTGCAGGCAGAGCTCATCTCCTGGAGAGACCCTTCCTTCCCAAGCTCAGAGCTGGTGGCCCTCTTCTTACTCCTACTGGCTTCTGGTGGGCTGGGTGCCACCCTGGTCCCCTCAGTGGCCACCTCTTCTTTCTGCCCCACAGGGGAAGGGTCCCGACAGCTCCTGGATGCCAAAGTCAAGTTGATCGCCAACACTCTGTGCAACTCCCGCCGACTCTACAACCACACGATCGATGAGACCATGATCTGTGCAGGAAACCTGCAGAGGCCTGGGCAAGACACCTGCCAGGTCAGAGACTCCAAATGGGCTCGGAGAGCAAGAGGCTAGCAGGACCTTACACGGGGGCACAGACCCCCTTAGAGCCCTGGGCTGGGAGACAGGCTCAGGGACCCACCTGCCGTAAAGCGCAGCCTAGGCTGGCGTATCTGAATCCATATCAATCCAGGAAGACACAGCACAATAACCATGGTGGTCACGTTGCCTGCATTGCTGCATTTCATCCTTGTGACACTCTGGTCAAGGGGGATGTCACTAGTGTTATTTGACAGAGCTTAGGACTTTCTCACCGTTCTGAAGGCTGGAAGTCTGAGATCAGGGCGCCGGCGTGGTTGGGTTCCAGGGAGAACCCTCTCCCGGGTTGCAGACTGCCAACTCCTGGTTGTGTCTTCACATGGTGGAGAGAGTGAGCTAGCTCTCTAGGTCCCTTTAACTAGGGCAAGAATCCCATGCATGAGAGCTCCACCCTCATCATCTAATCCCCACCCCCCAAAGGCCCCACCTCCCAATACCTCCCTTGGGAGGTTAGGTTTCAACATATGAATTCAGTCCCTTGCACCAAAATAATTCTAGAAGCTCAGGTGCCTCATCTATAAGATGGAAATGTTGTCCCCATAAGATCTGAGGCAGATGAAAAGAGGTAACACTGAAAATCCTGTCTACACAGTTGGAGAGTGTAAGCAGTGCTGTGTGGTTGAGAGCCATCCTCCTCCTCGCCGCTTTCCTTGGGGGGTGGGGTTTGATATAAACCAGGCATTGTTCTATGTGCTTTACAAACATTAATCCTCACAAAAATCCTGGGGGTGGGGGGAGTGTTCTGTTGCTAACCACCGTTCACAATGTGAGACATGGAGGCCCAGCTGGCTAGCAGGAGGTAGGGCCTGATTTGGAACCCGGAAGATCTAACCCCATAAACCATGCTGGACGTCTGAGCCAAGCGCCTCTGAGCCCTGCCCTCCTACCTTGTGTGTGCCTCATGGGTCCTGGAAGGGCTCTATCCTAACAGGGCACCCCACCCCCACCCCAGGCCTTGCTGGAATGAGGAGTCGAGGGCCCCTGAGAACTCACAATAGTAATACCTGTGTTACTGGGAGCCATGATGGCATCTGGATATGAGGCTGTGACCACAGCACTGTGGCCTGGCCCTGTGCCCCTCAGCCAGGACCTCCCTGACCCAGGGGCAGGGGCTGGTATTTGCTTCAGAGCCTTGGGTCTCATGAGGCCCAGGAAGAGTCTTGTCACTGCTTTCCCGAGGGCCCACGCCATCCCCCGCTGCCATCCCCTCATGGGAGGTGGGGTGTCTCCTAATGCATTCTGTCCACAGAGCTGAACTCGCATCTTTTCCCCCCAGGGTGACTCTGGAGGCCCTCTGACCTGTGAGAAGGACGGGACCTACTATGTCTACGGGATAGTGAGCTGGGGCGAGGAATGTGGGAAGAAGCCAGGGGTCTACACCCAAGTTACCAAGTTCCTGAATTGGATCAAAGCCACCATCCAAAGGGAGTCTGGCTTCTAAGGTGCCTGCCAAACCTCAGAGCCCCTCCTCCTGAGCACCCAGACCAGGCGAGGCCTCGTGGGCAGCAACGGACACCCCTGGGAGCCTCCAGGATGCACACGGCGAAGTGTCCGCGCTCTAAGCAGAGACAACAGCTTCCCGGCCTGGGGTGTCCCGGATCAACATCTCCACCATCATCAGGCTCCCTCCTGAGTCAGTCGGGAAATGACAGAATCAGCCCTAAATATATTGTGCTTGCTTCCCTTCACACCATGGCACCTTCTAGAAAATCACGGTTCACTGACTGCCTCCACCTCGGACATTTGCCAGTGTGGGATCTCTCAACGTTCCACATCGGTGGGTGACCCTTGGCATCTGTATGCCTCATCGGAGACACTCAAGGCCCCCAACAGAATGAGCCGTCCACTTCTAGGTAGCAGCTAGAGGACCACAAAAGACCGCATTCTCCATCTGCTTTCATAGACTTGTTACTTTAATAAAGGCGACCAGGGCATGGCTGGTGTGCCGTTGCACGGCTCGTCCCAGCTGAAGCCACTAGGCCTGTCGCTGGCATGCAAGCTTCCTCTCCAGCGTCTCTCCCGAGAATCCTGGGTGGACCCACTTCCTCACAACGGCAGCACCTTCCTCCTCTTGACGTGCAGAATCTCAGTGGCATCTGGGTTCACATCCGCCCTCAGATGATCTCTGGGCTCCACAGCCTCTGCCCCCCACTGCAGAAACCAAACACACCTCCGTGAGTCCAAAGGAAGCTTCCAGCCAGCTCCCTTAGGATGAGCTATCTAAGAGGCCCCGGGACCATTTAACATGTCCGCCCGCCCTTACTTTTCCCCTCCACCACCCTCTCTCCAGAGAAAGGATCCTCAAGGCAAGAACGAGGAGGAAGCAAAGCCAATCTCTCATTTAGATGCGCTGTCTTTCTTCTGAACAAAGGAGGGTTCAAAACCCAGACTGGTGTAGCCAGCAAGTCCCTGACCCTTTGTGGGAACGTAATGAGCAAGCAGGCAGCCCAGCCGGGGCCGCCGGGGCCCGGGACTGATGCAGCCCCAGCAGGTTCGTCTTCACAGAACTAATGGCTGCGACTTCAGAGAAAACCCTGCAGGAAGTTTAACCCAGGTGTCATCCGCCTGGTCACCTCGGACCCATGGCATTAGGCACCTTGCTCGAGCTGCATCTCACACTCTTTAGAGCCAGCTGACCTTTGGCCAAAAATAAAGTCTGAAAAAGGAAAGGTGAGCTTGCCCTTCCCTGTGGCCTTGCAAGCCGGGTTTGCCTCTCGCTACTTACATAAGCCCCCTGGAGAGCCAGGCCCCTTGCATTGGCCAGTTCTGCAGCCCGCCGAGCCATCTCCACTTTGTAGGAGCCAGGAGGGGTCCAGCCAATACCTCTGGTCAGGTTCAAGTCTGATTTGTACTTGACCTTGGGGGGGGAAAGGGAAGTAAGAGGAATGTGTCAGCAGGTTTGGGGATGGTTTGGGCACGGGGCAGAGGCTTAAAGGTGAGTGTGAGATGGAAAATGTGTTGGCAGTAAAGCAAACTTATCTAAAGCAGGAGCTCCCTAACCCAATGTGCTGTGAGCCCGGCCAGCTTGTCACTGTCCCTTGCATCTTTCTCAGGGGAGGGAACCTTTTTTCTGCTAAGGGCCATGTGGATATTTATAACATCATTCGTGGGCCAAACAAAGTTATCAACTTAAAGATTAGCCTGCTCTATTTGGTCAAACATTTAATTAGCTCACCCCTAATGCCTTGGCAGGGCCAGGCCAAATGATTTCTCGGGCCTTTAGGTGGCCTGTGGGCCAGACACTCCCCACCCGTTTCAAGTGACGGGAGCACAATGGGGGTGGTGGATGGGGAGATGTGGTTCAAGTCCAAGCTCCTACCTTACCTTGCTCTGTGGCCTTAGACAAGTCACTTCCCTTCTCTGGGCTTCGGTTTCCTCCCAGAGAGAAAAGGGCAAGGGCTGGGTTAGGTAACTACTAAGATCCCCTGGAAAGAGTTTGGCATAGCAATCAAGAGCGTGGGCTCTCACATCAAGCCAAAGGGGTTCACGTCCCAGGTCTGCCACTTGCTTGCCACAGGATCTTGAGTAAGTTACTTAACTTCTCGAATCTTCAGATCCCTCCTCTGTAAAATGGGGCAATAATGGGGCTATTGGGAGGACTACCGGACACAACACTTGGAAAGCATTTGGCACCGCAGCCTGGTCCACAGTAAGGACTGGATAAAGAGCAGTTATTGTTATTACTTCTTCGGGAACTAATGTATCAGGCATCCCGGGTTCTATCTCAGCCTGGCTCCTCCCAGATGGAGCCTGAATGTGGGGTTGGAGCCACCCCTTTGAAGGGCCTCGGCCAGGAGGGTGGGGCAGCTCACATCACTCTGCAGCTGGTGGGCCCTCTGTGCGTGCTTCAGGCCCAGCTGCTCCGGGTCGCAGGTGGGGTGGGGCAAGGGCTGCCTGTAGCATACGTCGCTGGCCAGCTGCTGGCTCCGCTTGGCCTGGAGGAAGCCGGGCTGGTCTGGGCGGCTGTGGAACCGGGACCGATTCTTAGCAAAGTCCTTCTTGTACTCATTGTCACTCTGGAGCTTGCCGACGCTGAGGAAATGCCTCATCCTTGGGTCGTCGTCGATGCTGCGGTACCCGATCTGCAGGCCCCGGTCCCGCAGGAAGGCCTCTCGGTACCGAAACTGCAGGTCAGAAGAGCAGAGATGGGTCATGGGTGCCCACCTCTCCCCACGGATTCTCA